ATCCTGCTCCTCAAGCACGGTCTTCTCAATCTCCCCAGACCTCTTCACCTCTTCCTGAAGGCGGTCTTTCTCCGCACGAACCGCCTTAGATGCTTCTTTCTCGTCCAGCAAGGCCTTATCCTTCTGAGCCAACCGCTCCTCGAACTCCTTCTCAACCTGCGGACGCAGCTCCTCAATCAGGGCCGCCCTTCCTTCCTCCGCGCTGCTCTTAAGGTTCGCTATCTCGACCGCATTATCTTCCACCGTCTTGGTAAGGCGGTCGTTCAGGAGAATGATCTGCGAAAATCCAATCTGCGCCTGTCAAGCAAACAAGCAAGCGGTCAGCAGTAAATCAGGAAATAGATCAGCCAAGACAACTAACGATACTAACCCCGAAAAAGAGCTGCGACGCGGTCCCGGCCAATCGACGGTTACTACCCTGAGCAGACACGGTGTACTGGTTCGGCATCACCAACTGGTCGCTAATGGTGTGCAGGGCAAGCTCGGCCGCCTCAGTATCCGTAGCCGCCAGCGGGGGAACCTCCACAAGATTTGGCCGATCAGACCGCTTTGCACCCTTCGGTGGAGAGTCACGAACCTTGGCTCGCTTCGCAGCAACCCCGGCGGACTCCGGGAGCAGAATCCTCTTCCCCGCCCCCCGAGGCACGGGGATAGTTGCACCTCCCGCCGCACTAGGCGAGGCGGCTTCTGGTAGGGTCGGAGAGGCCGCCGGGCGGTCAGTCGTGGCCGCCGCTCCAGCTGCGGATGAACTTCCAGCACGAGCGGTCTTCGCCGCGGCAGGCTTCACTGTCTTCTTTCTTCGCGGCCTGTTGGCATCAGCCAGCTCCCTCAAACCTGAAGAATGAAAGCATAAGTGAAATACATGAGAAAGATAGGAAGCAAGGATAAAAATTGCACTACTAACCGTAAAACCCTCGGACAAGATTGTAGGCACTATCAGGGCCACTATGCTTGACTCGCCAATGAACCGCCTTGACGACGCGGTCTACATGATCTATCACCGACTGAGGAAATTGATTAGAGTCACACCAATCATCTTTGCAACCATACGCGTATCCCGTGAGCGGTTCTGAATCGTCTGCATACCACTTCCAGGACGGCTTGGCAAAGAAATACTCTCTATACCAAGGAGAGTCCAACTTGGGCGCCCCCGTAATGAACCCGACCGCATTCTCCCTTCTCCCGATCGACCAGCAGTTGGGCGAGTCTCGAATGTTGTAAATCAATCTGAAGGCTTCAAATGACGGCTCTTCCTTGATGCGGTCGCAGGCTCGACGGTACATCACTGAATGGAAGATGATCGTCGGGGAAAGTCGCCCAAGAGTGCAATTTAACCAATGAAGGGTCTTGGTCAAAAGGGGGTCAAGCGGGAACCGCAAACCCAACTTTACATGCTCCACCAGGATAGGAATCCAACCGCTGGGGCAGGACCCGGATCGGCTGGTCTTGGAAGGGGCCGCATACTGCCACTCAGGGGGCATGCGGAGCGCTTTCAATCGGTGTAATACTTGCTCCGGCCTGAAGACCGCTTTGGAACTCTTCGGACCTTGCTCAAACACGCCTGAAGGGATAGACTCTCCTCCCCACATCCCAGCATGGTGCAACACAGTATAGACCGAGTCGTGGACGGCTACCAAAGGCGGTCCCGGATCGCCTGACTCCGACACCTCTAAAGATGAGGCAGTACTAATAGACGCCTCCGAGCGATTACCATCACTGCTCACCTCAACATCTTCTTCCAACGACACACTACCTAATCCTACCCGCTCAAATTCACCCAAGTTATCCCCCACAGCGGACGACGTGGCCACAACCCCAACTGGTACAGGGCGCGTGTTAGCACAATTGTTATCCAAGTCGACATAATCCCCGAATAAACAATCGTCTAGTTCAGAAGCACTTCCAACATATAACTCTAGGCCAGACAAATCCCACACGCACTCGGATGGATTTCGAATGGGTGAAAAGCAGTTCGTACCTTGGGAAACGAAAGCGGTTGAAGCAGCGCCCGAGGGCTTCTTTCCCGAGAGCGGGACCGCCGATGGCGCCGCAGAACTCGAAGGCTCCCTCTCGAGGCAAACCACCGGGGGAGACTCAGCGGCGGAGGAGCTCAATCGAACGGCGGCGCCATGCGCGCCGGACAGGGGAGGCGATGCTTCTCCAGACATCTGCGACGGCGAAGGAATCGGCCGCCAAAAACGGCGGCACGATTCGAGAAGAAAGGAGAAACAAGTCAACGAAGCTGACCAAAGAATAGAAAGAAGCTCCGCCGCCAGAAAAGGAAAGTTTAGACGCTTACCTGGTTCGCCGATCGGGTTTTATAGGGGCCGTCGGCCACGAGCTCTGCACAACTAACAGGAGAGGGAGCGAGGAAGAAGACGAACGGTTTCTAAAACAAGAAGGAGAATTGGCGGAAAAAATCCTCTTCCCCACACACTTAAAGCGAGAAAGGGGAAATTCAAAATCCCGAAGTGACACAGCTCGCGCCCCAAGGCTCTGAGATGACGTTTTGCCTCCTGACGGCAGGGCTCCGCGCCCGAAAACTGACACGTTGCGAAAAAGCAACGGGAGGCGGGAACCGCCACGGATTCCCTTCCGATGCTCGACACGTCATGGCCTTAGAAACAAATCGAACAAGCCATGACCCGAAAAGCGGTCAAATGGCGCTTAGTGGCCAAAGAGAGAACAACACATGAGCACAACCGCCCCTCAGGCGATCCCGCTCTAGGCCCTCGCGGCCAGGGGCAAGACAGGCAGTCAGGGGCAAGGCGGCCCTAAACCGCTTCACAAAGGCAAAGGACGATTAGCCGCAAAAGCCTAAAGCCTCTCACGCCTAAGGGGCAAATGTTAGGACAGCGGTTAGGACTTACGGGCCCCAAGCCCATGACTCGCCTAGAGGCCCACCAGACAACCAAGTCCAGCCCAAATGGACACAAAGGGCGGCCTGCCTCAGGACAACTGATCCGGAAGGACGCCCGACACTCCCACAACGGGACCTCAGGGAACCGCCCGACAGGAGAAGAAGGACAACCTCTGAACATTTTGTACGAAGACTGACAGAAGTACGAACCTGACAGTCTCAGAGGATCAGGGATCAGGCGGTCTATGACCGCCCGACATGACATTAAATGCCCTGATCCTCAACCCTCACTAGTATAAATACCCATCTCGGGTCACATTAATGGTAACTTCAACCTACTTCATTCTCTCTCTTATTTATTCATACCTCACTTCTCTCTCTAACTTAGGCATCGGAGGAGGTCCCAGGAACCCCCTGAGGACCTTTCTGCAGGGTTTCGGAGACCGCCCTCGACCATCGAAGACGCCCAAGGCCAGTAGAGTCTCACAAAACCGCCTGGTACATTCCAGGCACAAACAAAAATAAAATGTCCCCACTTCTCTACTTGCATCAATTATGTTAATAGTATGATTATTGTTCGATTGAACCTATGCTGTTATTTGCTGTCTTGTTGTTTGATTCAGCAATCGTTAGGTTTATTTGTTTGTTTTCTCCCTCCCTCGGTCTTTATATTTGTTTTCCTTTGGAGAAGGTGCTGAGCAATGTGGAATTATGTTCATTGCTGAATTTCAGAGAATAGGGTGACGGTGTTCTGTGTGGTTAGTGAACTGCACAACTGTCAGGACCTTTGTTCTTTACCCCTAACCTGCCAGTGGTTGAAACGAGAAAGCAAGCCCAGCGGTGTCTTGAGGACTGTGACCATCCTTCGTTCATGATTCCAGGCGTTCTTATGTAGCTTCTCGAACAATGCTTGTTGAATTGTTCTTTATACCTCGAAGGTAAATGAATTGAGTAGCTCATTGTTCACTGAAGAGACCGGTTGTTCAATTCTGAGAACATGTTTGTGATGTGTGTTATTGGGTCAATTGTCAATGTGGTATTTTCTAAAGTCAAATAACTCATTAATTGTTTATGTGGTATTTGAGTGGTAATTGGATTAAAGGAAAGTATCTCTTTTAATTGAACCCTGCAAATGTGGTATTTGGCATGTGGTATTTGGTAAAAACAAAAGGGCAAAACGAGTTATTACAAAATAACACAGGGGTATGAATTATTTCAAACAACTCGTTTTGAATTATTTTTAAATAACTCATTTCAGTATAATGCTACCAAACGAGTTAATTGTGTACAAATAATTTCAAATAACTCACTCATACATAGGGTTGGACAACAGGGAAGTTGGGTGGGTTTTGGTCTCAAATTTACCCATTCGCTTACTAGCGGGTTGGAATAATTGTGACCCGCAATCCACCCACATACTTCTGCGGGTTGTGTTGGGTGGGTGGCGGATGGGTGCGGTTGGATCGCGAGTCAACTTGCAAAAGCAATTTTTCATCTAGCCATTAAGAAAGTTGACTAACATTTGTAATAAGTTCATAGCAAATTAGTAAGATTGTATCAATAATTTGTGATTTTGATACAATTAATAATTTATAGTTTGCATCTCAATGTTTAATGGTTGTTAACAATAATTTGCATACCAATATCCAATATCTAATGGATATTGCACAACACAATGACCAATAATGATTGTTAAAACTATTATTTATTCTCCACCTTTTGAAGTATATGGTCAGATTGTAGTGCAGTTTGATAATATTATGAATATTCGATAATATTAGAAACAACATTTTTTCATATAAAAATAGGATACGGGTCATATGGGTGACCTGCATCCACCCACCACCCACCCACATAAGTGTGGGTGGGAGATTTACCAATACGCAATTCACCCACATCAATCACCCACTATGTGCGGATCGAGTTATTTACGGGTGAATCGATATCAATCCGCAGATTAACCACCAAAGTGTCCGCCCCTACTCATACCCATTCAAGCTTCTCTGCAACCGGGTAACAGATCTTCTGAAACAGTCGCATATGAACTCGATTTTTCTACCGGTGGGCCTCAGTGACCAGGCCCACAAGCCCATTGACCTGCCCGTCTCTGAATTACGGGCACCTGCTTCCTTCGTTACCTTTCGGCTTTTCCCATCGACCAGTTTGGCGGCAAATCTAACCGCCAAAAGATCGCGCCATTTCAGATTTTCCAGCGACCAATTAACCTAACTCGTGAGTCGTGATTACGCTACACACACTGTATACCCACCGCCGCGACCGAAAACCCGAGGGAACAAGATTCCGAAAGGGCGAGAGAGAGAGAAGGCGAGGGTTCTCGAACTATCCTTAGCAGAAATGGCTGCGACAGAGGCGCAGGTGGAGGAAGACTTCGCTGTGTGGAAGAAGAACACTCCATTTCTCTACGACCTCGTCATATCTCACCCTCTAGAATGGCCATCTCTCACTGCTCACTGGGTCCCGCTACCGTCTCCGCTTCCCTACTCCGCGGATCCTTCCTCTTTCAGTGTCCACAAGCTCGTCCTGGGAACCCACACCTCCGACGAGTTCCCCAACTACCTCATGGTCGCCGACGCCGTCCTGCCCACCCGAGAAGCCCAAGCCAGGCTTGATGGGGACTCGGAAGACTCTCCTATTCCAAAGGCGAGTGTGATTTTTGTTTTCGCTATGGTTTTATGTTCTGGTCTTGTCATGGCTTATCTATTGTCGGGTTGAGCACCAACTGTTCGATGAAATTCCCAACTGAAATGTCCTGAGATTTTTTTAGGTGGAAATAAGTCAGAAAATCCGGGTGGATGGGGAAGTGAACAGGGCGCGGTGTATGCCACAGAATCCGGCTGTTATTGGTGCAAAGACTAGTGGAGCTGAGGTTTACGTCTTCGACTCGGCCAAACAAGCTGAGAAGAAGGGTGACGATTGTGATCCTGATTTTAGGCTGAGGGGTCATGATAAAGAAGGCTACGGATTGTCATGGAGCCCCTTTAAGCAAGGTTATCTTGTGAGTGGTTCGAATGATTGCAAGATATGCCTGTGGGATGTCTCTGCTGTGGCTCAAGACAAAGTGCTTGATGCGTTTCACGTTTATCAGGTAAACTTCTGAAAATCCTGGCAGGCGATTTTTCTATTGCAGTTGCAAGTGATTGTGCGTGCTCTGATTTATAACCAGAGCTGCAAACTGTTTTGTTCCAGGCCCATGAAAGCGTGGTTGAGGATGTTGACTGGCACTTGAAGAATGAGAATTTGTTTGGTTCAGTTGGGGATGATTGTCAATTGATGATTTGGGACCTTCGGACAAACCGGACTCAGTCTTCTGTGAAAGCTCATGACAAAGAGGTGAAACATACTTAAACCTTTCTATCATTTGTGTTCTAGCGTTGCTATGATGCTTCAGTTGAATCTGTCTGCTATGAGCTATGCATTCTGGACTAGTAGAGTTGTTGCTTTAACAGTGATTACCATGATAATTTCCTCCCCTGCTGTAGCTATTTAAATCAGGAACAGAATAGCTAGCCTGCTTTCAGTGACAAATAAAACTAGCTTTCTTTCGTAGACTGTCTACTAAGGGGTCATGTCTGTAGCAAGTTATTTCCTTCAGTTGTCATCTGTTCTTCCAATTGGTGTATGTCATCTGTTTCTGATCTTGCAACATGGAGCTTTTATTTTCTTCCAGATCAACTACCTCTCCTTCAATCCATTCAACGAGTGGATTCTGGCTACAGCATCTTCAGACTCTACTGTTGGTCTGTTTGACTTGCGGAAGATGGAAGTACCTCTCCACGTTTTAAGTGGCCACACGTACGTATAAAACATATTGATGCTTTGTTGTGCTAGCTGGTGAACTTCCGATTCCATGCATTGAATGGGTACATACCTTGCACATGGCTTAAATCACCATGACTCCTCTTTTGACAGTGAAGAAGTGTTCCAAGTGGAATGGAACCCTAAGCATGAAACCGTGCTGGCATCCTCTGCTGATGATCGAAGGCTAAATGTCTGGGACCTTAGCAGGTACTTGACAACCAAAGTCGCTCCATATTGTCTTCCCTTCATTTACTTATTCCATGTTTTTTTAACAAAAGTCCGCATAGTATAGATAACTGCAATGCTCTTTTATTAGTGTAGTACGAGCTAAGGTTTGTCGTACTTTTCAGGATCGGGGAAGAACAGTTGGAATTAGATGCAGAGGATGGCCCACCGGAACTTCTATTCTCCCATGGGGGTCACAAGGCGAAGATATCTGATTTCTCGTGGAACAGAAACGAGCCATGGGTAATATCAAGTGTCGCAGAGGACAACTCTCTTCAGGTTTGGCAGATGGCTGAGAGCATTTACCGGGATGATAACATTGACAGCGACATTGCAGCCACGGATAAGCAACCATAAATGGGGGATGATGTCCTCCAGTGCCCCTAACTTTACAAGATCCGCTTTTCATGTTATGTTAAGACACAATGCTGTTTGGACTCTGTTTTAGCTCAGTGTGTTTCTTGTTTTACGCCATGTTGTGGTATCTTTGAGACCGTTTGGAGAATGGGAAGTATTCATTCGTGTCTTGGGATGTATAGTCTTGATTGGTTTCGTTGAAGTTTCTGCCCCCCTTTCTTTTGAGCATGTGCTCATTGAGACTTGAAGCCTGCCCTATGGCTTGGTTCCAGGTACCTTCGTTTCAGCCGGGAAGCCGCGGCTGGAAAGCAAAAGCAAAAGCCTCTCTTCTCTTGGAATCCTCTGCATCTCCAGATTCTGATTCTCTTTCCCTGTGGTCTATTCAACACAGGGTTGCTTCAAAAGTGAGCTGAAACTTTAGACAAAGATCATCCACCAAGCATACAAAGTGAAAGGGGCCTTATTATTAGCTGTTGGGCATTTGTTTGCCATTATATAAGCAAAACAAAAAAGCTTAAAGCTTGTGCACTATTGTGGGTCTCTCAACTGGGGTGTCGTGATTTGTACCAAATATTAGAGGCATGTTCCAGCTACTCGTTTGAATTGAGATTTAATTCCTTAACTCGTCAACTTCTTATCCAGGCAATTCATACATACATCTATCTAACTTAAGAGTAGACCATTCATTCAGCTGTCACATCGCCATATTTGTCAAGTATGACATAATTTAAAAGGTAATAATAATGATGGTAGGTATAAATTGACAAATTAAATCTCGAATTGAAGTTATTATAATTAGGTCCAAATTGACTTTGATGTGAAACTCAATTTGAGGTGAATCAAATTCGTCATTGTTAATGGGTTAACATTTGAATTGAAAGAGGTGGATAAAATTGTAAAACTTATGAGACATTTCATATTGAAACATATCATTTACATTTTTACTGGCAGAAAGAAAAAAAAAACTACATAAACAGAAATTACAACGACGAATCCTATCAACTTGCTAAAACCAAGTAAAATAATGCATTAGCTCAATAACAATTTGACCAAGAGTGACTAGTTTTAACTTTTAACTAATCACCTCCTAGAAGCCAACAACAAAACTACGACCGACCCATCGATCTGTGAATAACATGTATCACATGACGGAGCAAGCGGCCGGATTGTCGTCGCTAAATGCGGTGGTGTAGCGGACCTCGGTGGAGCTGGCACGTGCGAGGCCCGAGTCGTCGGCCCTCCGCACGTACCCGGAAGGCGCCTTCTTGTCGTAGACCCCCATGGCGTAGGGGTGGTCGACGACGTCGTAGGGGACGTAGGGCCAGAGCTCGGCCTTCTTCCCCGTCCGGTGAGCGACCCGGGCGATGACCTTGGAGGGTTCGACGTAGCCGACGACGGTGACCTTGTTGGCCTTGCGCTCGACGTCCACCTTGGTCACCCCTTTCATCCCTTCCACCGACCTCTTCACCTTCCGCTCGCAACCCTCGCAGTCGATCCGCACCTTTATCTCCACCGTCTGAAGTTGCTTGCGTCGCTTCTGGGACCGGCGGCCGGAGCAGTCGAACATCTCGGAGAAGTGATCCAAAGCGCCCATTTTTTGTCCTTTTTAAGGTTTAGTGAGTTTTTGTTTTCCTGAAGAATGTGATATGACTTGAGGTTGGCTCTCCCAGCCCAGGGTCCGTTGAATTTATAGAGGGTGGAGTTTTGGGCATTTGGTTTGTGGATATGGACGGTTGGATTTGTGGGTGGTGAGGTGGATGGGTGACACGTGGAGGCGATTGATTGGCAGGTGTGGGTGAGTTGCGGGAGACGTGGGGCCGACGAGGCTATCCTTCCCAGTTCCCATCTCATGCACCGACCGACCAGGAAGTTGGGGAGTTAAAAGCGGGGGGGAAAGAGAGAGATGGATGAGAGGTGACCCAAGGTCAGTCAAAGCGGTTATGGGTTCTGAGTTTCAGTGGGCCCGATTATGGGTGCTCTCTTTAACTTAGATCTGGGACGGCTCCTCTTTCCCATCATGGACCGTTGAGAATTATGAAATATATCATTTTCACTATAAAACAAAAAAAAGAAATATAGGGTCAGACTCTTATACTCCATATACTTTTTAGTGAGATATCTCTATATAGAATATGAATTAAAAAATATAAAAATATTATCATTACTTAAAAATATAAAATATAAAAATATATCCTTAATTCTATTTCATAATGATAATTAAGCCCCTCTTAAAATGCTATTGGTTAATTGATTGTCAAGAAATATAGAATATAAAAGCCCATTGGAATTCTCACAAAATCCATACATAATTGGAAACTACTAAAACCTCACAATCCTACATAAAGCGTTCATTGCTCTCCTTTTAGGAACAACATAGCATTAATAAAATAGAAATGGAAAGTTGTTGATTCAAGTCAACCATATACATTATACTAACAACTCAACTAAAAGGGATCATCAAAACTTGAGAGCAAATGACAAAATTAGGTTTACCTCCAATATACTAATAGACTCAATCAAAGTAATAAGACACAAAATTAGACACTCCTTTATCTACTAGATCCAGTAGCTTGAATAGAGAATCGAACTTAACTTTAGTAAATCAATCAATGATTACTCATTTTAAGATAGACATAGATTGTGGTTAGCTACAACAACCATAAACCTAATGATCTAGTAGCCACCACTCTCCGTTGTACAACTAACTTTTTATCTCCTCTATCTTCAATCTCAAAAGGCATTTATTTCAACACAAAATTCACTTTCTAATCCTCCTCATGCAACTCTATTTTTGCTACTTTGATGGACCTTCTCTCTGTGGACCTCAATTTATCTTCCAATTGGGGTTCTTGACAACTCGCTCTTCAACTCCTCAATCCTCTTCTTGTATTTGGCCATCTCATCTTCATTAGAGGCAGTTGTAATAAGCTCAGTAAAACCAACCCTCATCTCCAATTCCATCAATATGCTCATCTCCTCCCTGACTGCCTCACATGCTCCAGTTCACTTCCATGCCCTTCAATTCCCTCTCCATTTTCATTAATATCTTCACCATCTCTCACGTCTCTCTCTTCAACTACTCAAGTTTTGCTTCCATGTATTTCGTTCAATACCCTCCACAATTAAATCACTATCCTCACCAACTCCCTTTTCTCTGCCTTCACTTGATTTAGTTGAAATTTACTTGCTACCAAATCCAAACACAATTTCTTCCCCCACCACTTCCCTTTCCAAACCTAATCACAACTCTTCTACTCCAAGTTCAGCACCCCCAACTCCCAAAGTACTGTTGCGTGGAGGCTTAATTTTAGCAATCATTATGGCTTGTAATTATATTAATGGACTCTAAGAACATCGACAAAATCAACAACATCAAACTAATCCTAAAACAATATCAAAATTTGATCGATGAGTTGGACCATAAGAATCGAGATTGATGAAGAAAAATATGGTTGTGGAGAATATTAGATATGACAATAGCTAAGAAAAATATCAAACCTGAGCGAAAATATTGTAATTGAAAAAAAAAATTTATAATGTGATCTTATTTTATTATTTCAATAGCCCAACAAATAAAAAAAATACAGCAAATAACAACCAAGAAAGTAGACAGGGCCCGAGGAAAGTACAATTGCCTTGGTTCTATGATTTGGGCTTAATTACACATATTTTTGCCCTCATTTCTTGATTATTTGACATCGTTATCATCGTCCCTCGACCTAATTTATGCTAAGGTTGTGCTTCTTTTGTCACATTTCAGGTCTTAGTACAGGTGGTAAGGTCCGGGACAAGTTTCGGGTCATTCGGAGGTCAAAACGATCCAAAAAGTGGAGATTGAGCACTGTTCACGGGCTGGAGGCACATGTCACGCCCTGAGACCGTGAAAAACACCCCTTGGGAGTGAAGTGCATGACTTCACGGTCTGGACTCATTTATCATTGTCGTAAGACCGTGATAATCACCCCCAGACCGTGAAGTGGCCAAATTCCAGAGCACTTTCGCGTCTCACTGGAGTCCAACCAGTTCACAGTCGCTAAAACCGTGAACTCAAGCCCCAGACCGTGAAGTCGGCATTGTCGAAATAATATAAAGATAGTAGTGGGGGGAGAGACAAAGGAGCTGATTTTTGGAGAGGAATTAGTTTCTTTCTCTAGGGTTTCGACCCAAAACACCAAAGGGGAGTTTTAGAGAGAGAGAGAGAGAGAGTGAGTTCTTGAGTGATCTTGGAGATTAATTGAAGGCATTGATCAAGCTTGGAATCAAGGAATCAAGCCTAGAAGAAGAAGATCTTGGGCTCCAATTTGTAATATCTCTCTTCTCTCTAGAAACTCACCCTCTTCTCTTGGGATTAAGAACCCTAGTTCTTGGTCTTGGTTTTATGTTAATGTATGTGACAAATTCCATGTTTGATGATTTTACTTAATTGATGGATGTTTTCATGCATGGCATGAGTTGGGTTTTCATTTTATGTATTGAGCTTTTGACCTATGAGGGAGAAAATCCCCTTAGAGCCCACTATTGGCGTCTTCGGGTCACTCCTATCGTATATTGTCTGGGTAATCCCCGAGGGAGTTGATTGATCTACTTCGTAGATATATGAAACCCTAGGTTGAATAGAGCACCTACCCATCCACTGATTCGTCGTTACGGGTTGATCTCGAGGGAGTCCATCTCCTAATGGTAGAGTATTTGAGTCAATCGAGCTAGGAGGATACTCAACATCGATCAAGAGGTCGGAAATAGGGGGATTTAACCCAAGAGAGCTCCCAACCTTGTAAATAGCTAGGTTAGTTAGTTTAGTTTTTTATCCTAATCGCTACTCTAGGTTGGCTAGATAACGAATCCTAAACCTGAAGTAGGGTAAGCCTAGATCCCAGTGGTACAATAAATTATTATTGCTTGCTTTCCTTATGCTACACCCGGTCAGCAGTTATACTTGGCCGACGATTGGGATGTGTAGTTAGAATGAGGTATTCTACACAAATATCTTCTTTGATTTCAAACAAATCTAGCAGTCTAGCACCCAAACCATCGTTCAAATTCCTTTTCTATATTTTACAAATCAATCACAAACAACAAACTTAGATAAATTGGGAGGGAATGAAACAATAGCCTACCATTTCAACTCAATGAACTTTCCATGAAGACAGAAAACTCATTAAAGTTGAAACCTAATAACAGAAAGAGGAGCATCGACACAAGAGATTCATCTGCATGTTCTGCTCGTGAGACAGCCTAATAATAAAAATTGTTTTGTTATTAATCAGAAAGATAAAACCATGAGGCAGAGAAGAAAGGAATGAATTACATATGTGAAACTATTAACCTTGGACGAAGACCGAAAACCCATTCAAGTTCAAAGTCTGGTATAGGAAGAGGCGTAAAGGAGGAAGAGATAGAACATGGTCTTCGACAATAGAATCATCAAAATAGTTCTTCTAGTAGTTCATCGATAGGAGAGATAGAACCATTGGGTGATGCTAGTGCGGAGGGATCGAGCAAGATAGTCCAGACCCTAATTACTTGATTGAACTCAATTCTATTCGCCATGGACTTATATCAGTGTTGATATCTTCTACTTGCCTAGCTTCAATCCTCAACAATCAAACCGTAGTGCTAAGAGATACAAGAAGATTGATCTTCATAGGCAGCCTTTACTGAGAAGTGAAAGAGAGCAAACTATTGCACTATGGAGGAATTTCACAGGAACTTGGGAAGGGAAAAGAACAAAGATAAAAAAGCGCAAAAAATATTTTAAATTAAAAAAAGGTAGGGACACAACACGTAATATAAGAAATAGTTGTTTTCTCTCTGAACTAGGGTTTCATATCTCTCAAATTTTGATGGCGTCCGCCGTTAACGATGCCTCATCGGGAGCCGTTGGTGGCAGTAGCCCTTGATAACTATAGTCGTGAATGATGGGCGGTGGATGACCCACAGCGGACTCGACTTCGCCTAAGTTGACTGTAGGTATGAAGAGCTGGAATGCTCGATCGATTTGGGAGATCAGCAGTATATAATGACGGCTACATACGTCTTTTTGGAATTTGAAGGTAGGATCTGTTGGTTCCTGGATTTGGTGGCGTCTGTTGAAGTGTCAAACTGAAATTCAGCATCTTGTGTCTAGCTAGGGATATTCCTTGCTTTGCGATGGAGAGCCTATGTCTCGTTACTTTGTCAAAAGAGTTTGGGAAGCTATTAGGCCTCATTACTCAACTGTTGCGTGGGATGAAATGATTTGGAGTAGAGAAGTGGTGTCAAGACATGGATTTATCCTCTGGCTTGCTATTCTGGGCAGATTGCGCACTTAGGATAAGCTTCTTGCTTGGGGTAAATCTGTCTCATTGTACTGTGTGTTTTGTCCGGGAGGGGTCGAGTCTTGTTCTCACCTATTCTATGCCTGCCCTTTTATGAAGTTTATTGTAAGAAAGTTTTTGTCTTCTCTTGCTCCTGTTGATGGTCTACTGTCATGGGAGGAGGTAATTGAGTGGTGTGTTAGCAACTGGAAGGGCAAACGGGTTGAAGTAGATGCTTGTAGAACGTTCCAGAGTCTTGTTGTCAGTCTGCTTTGGCGGGAATGTTGTTCGACATTGT